CAGAGTGTAGGCAGTTTAATGTGCAGAGAAGAATTGAATGGATGCAAATTTGAAGCGAGAAACGTATGCTTTAACTTGTCACTTTTTGAATTATGTGGTTATGACGATGTTTTTCAAGCAGAATATAGTGGTCTTTCAAGTAATTGCTTTTGATACCAATATTTATGCTTTACTCAAGTACTAGGGAGTTCAACGGATGAAGCGCTCTATTAGTTCATTCAATAACTATTTGCTGTAGTGTAACAGTGAAAACAGATGTAGAACTTCAAGAAAAAAAGCAAATAAAATTTATGATTTTTTAGCACGTTTTCATATTTTTTCATCTTTAACACTGGACCAGGCTCAAGATGGATGATTCTCCCTTTTGTTACTTGGGTTTTCAAATTTCATATAGTCTTCTACCAGTCAGCGAAATAATCTGAGACATATAGGTAAAAAAATGCGAAGACTTGACCACTGACTAGGTAGAAACGTTTTTTTTTTTTTTTTGATAGAGTACCCTCTTTGGTTCTTATATTTTTAGCTTTTTTCGATCATTTTACTCTGCTGTCTGTCGAGCCCTTTTCTGCCTCATTGCAATTCTGACACTAATTTCTCCAGCTTTTTGTCGCATGGTTGACCAGAATGCAAAGTGAAGAAATGTGTAAGAAAACCAAAATAGTACCTTTTTTCTCTCAAATTATTTCAAAAATAACTTTGTTTATTATCGCTACTTATACAGTCTTTTAACACAATAGATTTAAGTTGTATTTATTAAGTGTCGATAAAATTTAAAATCATGGAATGAGACAACCGCTAAAAATCTTCACTGACCTCAAGACAGATGGATCTGCTACTTCGAGGTGACAGCGTTGTTCTTAGCAGTAAGGGCTTCTGAAAGGATATAAAAATATTTTGGTTTGTTTTTAACACTTTTGAGGAAAATTTTTAAATCTGAATTTTCTATGCATCCTTCTCTGGTAACCTCTTATTTTTACACCATCTTGGATGTCTCCCAAAGAAAAAAGGGAAAAATGAGTGAGAGGACTAGAAGGAAGGAGAGGAGGATAAAAAATACAACGTCTGTTGCGAGTTTTTGAAAAAATCCTTGCCGTTCTGCCCGCTCTGTTATTTTGTCATAAATCCAATAAAGAACTGGAAACTTTTGTAAATTTTTATAAATGAAAAATTTTTATTCCTTCTCTGTTTACGTTCAATAATCATACATGTTAACTACTTTCAATGACTAATCAGGCTATAAATCGTTCCATTTGTTGCCGTCAACGTTCAAGCTGATTGTACTTTTGTAGGCTAGTATCTAAAAGCTTTCAGATACAAAAAAACTCGCCACTGTTTGTATTACCGATCGCTGCAGTAATTGTAACGGAGATCATATAAAAAACCACCAATGCAGGGCAGCTGTCAGTTCAGAGAAGTATCGTACTTTACAGTTCCTAGCTTAAAGTGTACACCTTTTAGCAAACTCATTCTGTTCATCTGTCAGAATTTTAGAAAAATCTGTAGAGCGTCCACCCAACTTTCACTTAAAAGGTTCAAATTTTTCGAGCAATTTCCGCATAGCAACAAAAATTTTTTCAACTTTAGATTTTATTAAATATCATCAGAGGAAAAAATTACTTAGTTTTTTTGCCACCAACCCATCCCATAAACTTAGTTTATTTACATTTGCTAAAGTGAGCTACTGAACAGTTCTAAGAAAACGTTCATTTATCTGTACCGTTTAGAACCTAGTGTAAAATAATGAAAATGAACTGTATTACAGTCTTCCAAGTTTCGATTTCCTTTCAATATTTTACGGTATGGAAGCTATTTTTAGCAGAGTATTAGTAAATTTCCAATCACATTTTCTGCTTAAATTGTCTCAATTAGTTTTATCACTTCAAAACTGTTTAAAAGTCTATCAGTTTATATTTTTCGTCCAACTGTCGCCCCGTAAAATCTTCTATATTGTTATAAAAATTAACAAAGTTTAAACATTATATCTCTTTCCAAAAGCAGTTTTTGATGTTTCTGTAAGACTAAATTAAAGATTTTTTCTGTCTTGCGATTACTTATTTTAAAACTACTGAATTGATGCTACCGGTTTTTCATTTAGAAACGTCTTTTTGTTGATGATAAAACTTCGACACCCACGATATTGCATATCTGATTACTGTGTTGTCTTCAGTTGCACTTCACGTACTCATCAACCCCTTGAAGTTTATTTTTAGTACAAATTAAAGAATAAACTATTAATTGTAACCGAAATTTCACACTAAACAGTTTATCAACCTAATAACCCGGTTAAACGAATCATTTTGAAAAATTGCGGGTTATCAAATCAAATACTTTGTTGAAATAACACTGTTGGATGTAGTGTATTTTTCTCCATGTCTTACTCAGGTAATCTTTATTGGCGATATCTCTTACTGCAACAAATCTTTACAACTGTTTGCACCAACTTTTCATTAGCCAGTTGATCTCTTTTAGCTAATTCAAAAGTGTATCAACGCTGCAGCTGCCTTATTAACCGTTTTAAATATTGAGTTATAGCGAATGATTTGTCGTATAAAAACAAAATCATACAAACTTAGTTTTTATAAAAAGTTGAATCAAACAAAATCAAAAAATTGTAGTTCAAAACTAATCTACTCACGCTGGTTGCAAGTATAAACTAATGCTTTCTACACCGCTAAGTTAGGTGTAATTTTTTTCTTTTTTTTTTTTGATTGAAACCTCTAATGTTGTAAAATGTAAACAATTCGAAGCAAATAGCAACAAAAAATCCTACTTTCTTCCAATTCTCAACAAAACATTCTGTAAA